ATGAGAGTAAGGAAAGTGCTGCATTAGTCTGGAGGGGGTGAGGGGAGGGACAAGAAGGAAATAGATTCCATGGTACTGAAGTGATTAATGTGACTGTTTATGATGAAGGAAATGAAAACTAGAAATCTGGGTAGGTAATGATCTTTCCAAGTGAATGACTTCCTTTGGAACCACAATACAAACTCATGTGCTGATTTCCTTTAAATTCTTGCTAAAGTTCCCAAAGCAAAGCAGGGATGAGGCTGAAATTTTTTTCTTCCTTGTTGATTTTCAGGAGTGCAGAATTTCCATCGATTTCCAGGGTTCACTGCGAGCTGCCCACATGCCATCACCTCTCTTTAAAACAGGAGGTTTGGTGGTAGGATTGAGTAAAAGGCCTTAAGAGGCACATTTAGCACAGTCCTTTAAGGGTCAGCTGGAGCCGAGTGTGCTCAGGAGGAGGAACAGGACTAACACCATTTCTGTGAAGATACAAGCCCAGTATTGCAGCTTGGGAAAGATCAGTTATCCATTCCCTGGCCTCAGTCATTGCAGTATATAAATGCTTCACAACTGCTAATATATTTATCTTTCCATCCTCCCTATGGAGTTGGGAAGTGCTATTACCTCTGTTGCAGAACTAAGAACTGAGATTAAGGGTCAGATTTGTTATGGCATTTAGGTGCTCAATGGGATTTTCAAAAGTAGCTAACACCCGTTGTAATAAGTGGAACCTGGGAACTTGGTTAGTTCTGAAAATCCTGTTACTTGTGTCTTTTTTAAAGAAATTTTGACTTACATGAAACCTTGGGATTCAGAGGAGTAGTTCCCAAGTTGTGGGGGGTCACCCAGACAGGAGAATGTCTCTTCATCCACCTCCCAGGAGACTGCAGGTGGGACAGGAGCAATTTCATGGCAGTAGCTTATCTCAGTGCTGAATTCAGCAAGCTGTAACTGCACAGCATTGCATTTACCCTTCTTGCCCAGCTCTGTGAGAGAGGTCAAAATCCAGTCCTGCAAATACTGGAGCAAAAATAAGCAGCACCCATGGTCAATAAAAAGGGCTTATGTGCCAATTGCTGGGATGGAAAATTCAAGAGCAGGAGCAAATAATGAAACAATCTATATTCATGCAGCCACCTTTCCAGCCTACTGCTCTAAGTACAGGCTTACACCTCACCAGGAGATGGGAATCCCACTAAAAGCTCTGGAGTATCACACTGGAAAACAAATGTTGATTTTGAACAAATTATCTGTTCATCTCTAAATCATTTTCTTTCATTATTAGTCTCCAAATTGGTTCTGCTCTGGAAGGCAGAATTAGGTCTAAAAGCAGAGCGTCTCTTAAACGCCTGCTTCGAGTGAAAGTGTTCAGTAAACATTGCTCAAACCCCCAGAGCATAAACTCCTCAACTGCTTTCCCTGGCTTTGCATAGATTTTGCAGGTCCTGCTTTATGGTCAGGTGGCTCAGGGATTCATTCAGGATATCAGAAAATAATCAAATTAAACCCCTTGCAAACATATGCCTCTTAAGTACCAAGGAAACAATTTTTAAGACCTTCCTGTCCTCCTTTACAGTAGCATAAACTGGGACAAGAGTCCCAAAAAGATGGATTTACCCCAATATGGGACATGGAGGAGAGAGAAGACTCAGGCTCCACAGCACGAGTACAAAGCCATGTGGGCTGCAGACCAAAGTTTTCAAACATTTCCGTTTTATGGTTCAAAAAAGATCCCTGGGCTTTAAAGTTGTATTTTCAGCATTAAAGGGTTGGGTTTGGGTTGAATCAGTGTGTCAGTAGGATTGCAGCTGTCTGAGGCTGTGATCTGGGGTAGTGGAATGAGGGTCAGCTCAGTAAGGAGGGTGATGGAGCAGCAGCTCAGCCCAGGTGTTGTTGTGTCCTTGTCCCATGTCACACCATGGGCTGTTGGGAGGGTCCTTGGTGCCTCCATCAGAAAAGAAGCTCTGTGTGGATTAAAATGCATCCAAAAATCACATGGTTATCAACAGTGTTTGCAAGATGCTGTTATTCCACTTCTTCAGGTGGAGGAGGGAGAATAACTCCATCACTTTGTGTGAAAGAGAATAAAACTTTGGGGCAGTGTTGTCTAGGACACTCCAGATCATTGCTAGCTTATTCAGAGCTTGAATTTTAACTCAGTTTGCTGTTCAGGGGATCTGCATGCACACGGAAAGATGTGCAAGAAAGTCCTCTATTGATCCTCCCCCAACTTAGAAAGACTTCCACAGATTTCCCAGCTCTTCTGACTCTCCAGTAGAGGTGTGGGACTGGGAGGCTGCTCCTGCACAGAGCAGGAATTGAGGGCTGCTGCAAAGGTGTTTGCACTGTGGTGTCTGAACACTGTTGTGCACGTAGAAAATTTATTTCTCAGTGGATAGAAGAGCTAAAAGATTAACAGATGAACAAATATATTGAGACAGCCAGGACATCAAAGAAATTGGAGAGTCACTGAGGTGTTGGAGAGCTGGAGAGTCACTGGGCCATGTTCTTAGGAATTATTTTATCCTCAGATTACCTCAGCTGTCTTGGGGTTTGGACACATCCTCTGGTGAATTTAGCTACATGATTTAAGGTATAACTGGCCAAGCTCTCTGCTGCTCCTCCTGAGGATCCTGCCTGTGGAGCAGAGGGAATGAGTGCCTGCCTGCCAGACACTGCAGCACAGGTCCTGGGGGCTTAGGACAAGCACCAGCCTGTGAGGTACACCAAGGGTGAGAGTGTATTTAATCCCTGGGCAGAAATCTCCGGGGAAAATAGGGGTCAGACAGCTTTTTGTCCTCCATGCAATCTGCAATTCAGTACGGGCAGGGAAAAAAAAAGTGATTTACAGCAGTCTTAGCCTGAGGTTCCTCACACAGAAACCAGCTGAAGGGTGATACCAGTGGAAGGAATCAGAAGGTTTACATAAAATGTGACTTCCCTGCAGAAAACAAAAAGCAGCTCAGAATGGTTGTGCAGGGGCTGCTGACCATGAGACCATGCTCATTCCTTGGGCTGCATATGCCTCAATTGCTCCCTGAAATTTAGATTTTGTTAAGTCAGCCAGGAAATTATGGATGAGTTCGGGCTCTTGAGGGAAAGATGTTCAAAAAGCAGCAATATGAAGACACTGAAAAGAGGGAAAGTCATAACTTGAAAAGTGCCACGCAGAGGGAGCTGTGCCCATGCTTTATTGAACTGTTGGCTGCCATAAATACAGCTGAATTCCCTCAGTCTCCTCTAATGTTGTCTCAGTACCAGCAGGAGTCCATTTAAGAACACACTTACTTGCACGGATGATTATATATATGGAGAGCAGGGAAAGAGCTGATGCAGGCAAACCCTGAGAGCTGCCCAGGAGAGCTGGGGGGTGCTGGGCTGCCCCGTGCTCAGCTTTGGTCAGTGCTGCCAGCCCAAAACTGGCAAAGCAGAGGAGCTTCTGCTCCAGCCCTCCCCTCTGCTTCACCTGAGGAGACCACAGCCTAGATTCTGTGATTGTACAGTAAATAAATGGTGATTAAATCAACTAAGAGGATATTCCCAAAGAGGGAGAGTTGGTTTTTTTATAGCCATTTGAGATACAGAGAGTAATAAAAGACTGTATTATAACTAAGAAAGAGACAAGTATAATAGAAGACTTAAAAATTGATGACGAACAAGGAGGGCTGAACGTTGTGTTTGTGCACTTTACAGCATTAACCCCAATTGCTGAAGTTAAAGGTCTGGCTGAGTTACAGGGCTGTGCAGTGTATCCATGGTTAGGAGGGGCTGAAGCTCTGCAGAGCACATGGTCATGCCTGGTGTGATGTGATCCTAGGAGACCACAAATTTTGGGGTCCTCAGCCTGATTGTTTTCATTCATTTCCTTAAACCCTTCCCAACCTCACGTTGTAGGAAGTCAGAACTAATTATTCCTGTTTGAACAGTGGTCTGAGGAAGAGAAACACTTTCACCCTCTGTGTAGGTGCTCGGCTTTGCTGTTATCCCCTGTTAGCACTGATTAGTGAGAAAGCTGAACTAGAAACGAGAGCAAGCTGACCTTGGGGGTGGCTTTATTGGCCCTTTTCCCTTGGCCCAGCACAGCAAAGCTGGCATGGAAATGTTAGCAGGCCATGTGAGGTTAGGACCTCCGGGTGCTCTTAGGCACCCACTTGTTGGGTTATTTCCTTCAAAGAGCCAAGCAGCTAATAGTTAATAAAGTTATTTATTGCAGAAGCACATCAGTCTCAAAGCAAAAGCAATGGCAAAATGCAGTGGCAAAATGCAATGGCATAAAGCACCAGCTCTCCCTAATGCATGTTCTTATACAGAAACTTTCCAGCTGGCTAAGACACCAACTCGGACCAGTACTCCATAACCTATTAGAATTCTGGTTTCTTAGCACACTAGGCTATGTATAAACTACATACATGGTCTATCTTGTTCTAACTGAAAAATGTAAGCAATATTCTTAACTATAGCTCTGTTATGCCTGAAGCTAGGTTCTTGGAGCCTCCATGGAAACAATAGTGTCTAGGACTATGTTTTTCAACCTTCACTAGAACATGTACTACTTCTCTGGCATTTAAGACCTTTATTCACTAAAAGCACTTAAAACTTATTATACTTACTTACTTATTCACTCCATCTACTCACTTACTCCATCTACTCACTTACTCACTCCATCTACTTACTTGCTTGCTCACTCATGCTAAAACCTAAACTTTCACCTCTGCCTTAAGTGTGAGTGGCTTAACACACTTCAAACCATCCAAGGGCTTTAATTCAATCCCTCCACTCTGATCTCTCTCTGAAGAATTCAGAGAGACTCCTGACTTGCTGACTCCAGCAGGTCAGATCTGTGACGTGTTTAACCACACGGTGCGTGAAGCTTTTCCTCTGGCAGCAGGTGGGAAGGTGCCCATGAGCAGGGTGTGGGGTGCAGCAGTGCAGCAATGCAGCAGAGCAGCAGTGCAGCAGAGCAGCAGTGCAGCAGCCCAGCAGAGCCCTGAGCCCCGGGTGACCCGTGTGTGTTGCAGGCTGGAGTCGCCCACGCGCGCGCTGGTGATGGAGGCTCCCAAGGGCATCGAGATCAACGCCGAGGCCGGCAGCCTGAAGGCCACGTGCAGGACAGAGCTCCGGCTGGAATCCAAAGATGGAGAGGTGAGTGCAAAACCTCGGGCCCTGCAGCAAAGCTGAGCCCAGGCGTGGAACACCCTGCGGAGCTGTGGGTCAGCAAACTGCTGTGTGTGACACTCTGGGAACAGAGGGCTCTCCTGGCTTCACTCTGATTGAACACATCCCATGCAAATCAGCCCCATTCCATGGCAAAGGCTGATTCATTATTTTTAAAGTGAATGGGTAATAGCATCTGTTGTTCCAGCAGATTTATGCAGCTGTAAAATGCACAGTGCTCCTAAATTCTTTGTTTCCTTGTCACTTTAAAACAAGCTTTACTTGGCCAGCACATTTAAATCTTTTATCATATATTTTTCTATAAGAAGAGCTTAATTCACTGGTATTGATCTGAAAAGCTTTTGTGGCTGATGTTTCATTCTGGAAAGAAAGGGAACATTAGGAGACACAGATTGTTGCTCTGGAGAAACTTCCAAAGGGGAAGAGAGAGCAATTAAAGCTGATAACATAGAGCGAAATTAGGCATTGAGTTAAGCCTCTTTCGGTGTCACAAAATCATGTGGGCACATGATTCTCATCCCCTGCTCCTGCCACAGTGATGGAAGACAGAGGATGTGGCTGAGGAGCTCCCAATGGGGAAATCACTGAGACACTCATCAGGAGGAGCTGCCGTGGAACACAAACCTCCAGGCAAGAGGGCTTCCACATAAGATTTACCTTAGTGTCAGGGGTAAAAAGCAGAAAGACTTTTTCATTCTAATTTTTGTTATTCTAAACATTTGCATTTTAAGACAGTCCAAACCTAGACCATAGCTGTTAACAAAAAAACCTCTGAAAAATACCAGAAAAAAAAAAAAAAAACCCTACCTAATACATTGAGATTGAAATCCAAGGCATTTCACAGCTTCAAGCAGTTGCTTTCAATACTAAGTTGCTTTTAAAATGCATAAATTGGCTTGTATCTTTCAGGACATGAGATGGGTGGATACCAAACTTGGAGATTCTTACTGTAATTGCAAATATTCTCAGTCACCCCATATTATTCTGGGGTCCAGGTTATCTTACTGTATTGTGGCTGATGTCAGAGCAGTCCCCTGCAGCTGCCACATGTCTGAGAGCTGCCACATGTTGTTTGTCTTCCTTTTTTTTTGTAAGGAGGAATTTAGGTCTGTTAGAGCATCTGAGTTATTTTTAATGTACACAAAAGTACTACACATATACATAAAATATGCATAAAATATACATAAAATATACATAAAATATGCATAAAAGTCAGTGCTGGGAGCCTGCAAATGTAAGTGGCAATGGGATTACAGTGACAGAAATCCTGATGGAGGAGCAGGGTTGTTGGGTGGGTGTGAACCATCCATGCTCTCCATCTGACAGTGGGGTACCTCTCGTTGGGTCAATCCAAACCTGGGATTGGATTCCTGGGAGGTGTCCCAGGAAGCTGAAAGCCAAGAAAACACGGTGAGTACATCAGCAGAAACAAACTGGAAGCTGTGGTAAAAGCAGATAATGTGCTCTCCCAGATTTGTATCAGACTTTGCCATCCTAAAACACTTTCCTACCCAGTTTCTGCAGCAGCTGAGCTGTCTGGAGGAAGCTTCTTTAAACACAGCATCAGAAATAACAGCTCCCCACTAATTCTCTTTTTTTTTTCTCTCTCTCCCTCGCCACCTCCGACTCCAGATAACGTTGAATTCTGCAAAAATCAAACTACCTAACTTGCCTCAAGGATCTTCCTCTTCTGCAGGGTCCAGGCAAAAAATCTACGAGCTCTGTGTGTGTCCCAATGGGAGGCTGTTCCTGTCCCAGGCGGGCAGCAGCTCCACCTGCCAGATAAACACGAGCGTCTGCCTTTGAGAGACAATTTGCAGCGGGGCGTGGCAGGCAGCACAAAAGCCAGTTCTGGTCTCACAGATCCAGCTGCCAACTATTTTTACTAGAACACAGAAAGCCTATCAAAGACTTTTTTTGTGTGTGCGCGCGCGTGTGTGTGAATATATATATAAAAAATATATATATAAGATATATATATATATCCTCTGTGTAAAACGATGTTTCAGTACAAGGAATCCCAGGGTGACCCTGTTACATTTGTGTAGCATTTCTCTTTCCCACACCAAAATTTACTGGTACAATCTGCTGAATTGGATCTGATGCTCCCCTGGACCCTTCTGTATTAATACAGTGCAATGATCACCCCTCGTTTTTGATCATGTTCTCAGAGCAGTGGGATTGCTGGCTGGGCAAGACCCTGGAACCAATACAGAGCCACCACCATCCAAAGGGAAGAGAAGCATCTCTGATTATTTTTGTGCCATTAAATCGGTGGCATGAAAAATAAATAATTTCAAAAACAACAAAATAGCCAGATGTGCTGATCCCCTACAGTGATCCAAGATACCTGAGGTTAATTACTCTTTAATTATCACCTGAAGCGTGGCTCCCTGTTGGGAGAGATGGGTGTACTTGGCCAGTAGGAAAGTCCAGACCTTCTTGCTGAAATAATAAATGTGATTTTCTGAAGGGGCTCAACACTTGCCTGTGCAGGCCAAGGATGCCTTGTGCTATTCAGGTCCAGCATTAACGTCAAATCATCTTTGTGCTGGCAAAACTGGTGTTGTATTTAGCTATTGGAAGGAACAAAATGGTGAAAGTTGGATTAAGTAGAAAAATCCTGAACCTCTTTTGTTAATAGATGTCCTAGATCATCCCACAGACTCCCCATTCACACCAGTTTTGAACATATTTGCTGTGAAGGTGTGAAGATTTAAGATTTGGACATTGCCTAAATACATGTAGAAGCAGAGAAAATCAACTAGAAAGTGAGAAAATCATAAAATTAAGTGTATAATGTAGATGCTACACCAGAATTTTTGTCATCTTTGTTTTCAAGATACACAGACCAAAGTCACTTAGATTTAGTGGAAACTGCAAATATCAGAGATGCTGACAATGAAAGACTTTTTTTAAGAGTTTATAAATATTGTGACAAAGCCAGATTACTGAAAGGAAGAGCTTTGGATGCTGGTTCCTCTAGAATTTGAGTCCCCAAAACTCTGTGGTTGAATCTTATCATGGTTGCATTTTTTTCTTATTTTAAAGTCTAGAAGTCACGGGCAGCATAAAACACAAAAATCTGATCTGGTAACATTACTTCCACTTTTGAAGTTTTGGAAAATAATGATAAGAGCCCAGATCATTGAATTCTGACCCATAATTTCATCCACATGCATGTCAAAATCCTTTAAAAAAAACCAAATATACCAATTATGGCAAAAGTTTCCAAGTCCCAGTAAATGTCACGAGGACAGCAAGGTTTCTAAGCCACTGAGATGCTTTTGAAATATTACCTCATGTGCAAATCAGAGAGATCTGTGCCCATCCCCAGTGATATCTAACCAAAGCTGGTATTCTTCAAGTGATCTTCAAGATAAAACATAGCTGACAGAAATCTTTAGAAATAATTAGCCCATTCCTTTTTTTTTACAGCTTCTCACATATTTTCTTGTGGTCTCGAGAGTACCAGGGTTTGATTTTGTTTTCTTAATTTTTTATTTTTTAATTAACAATTCTGGCTTAATCCAAAACTGATTGGACTCAGAGAAGATTTCTGTGGAGTTTAGATTAGATGTGTTGCTGCCTAGCAAAGCAGCACTCACAAAAAAATTTATTCCTGAAAGAGGATTGAATGATTTCCATTTATTTCAGTAATGCTTTCTGATAAATTAACGAACTCAAACTATTTGTTAATGAATGATTCCTGTAATTATTATGTCTTGAGTCAACGTTTGAATGCAAAGGGTCACCCAGGGTAACAATTGTATTGGGACACAGGACTTTACCATCTCTGTTCAAAGAGGGGAATTGTGCCTATGCCTTAAGTCAATGCACTCAGCAAGGAGAAGCACATCATATTTATCTTGTTATTAAATCTAGTTTATTTGGGGGGAGGGAAAAGAGGGTGTCTTGGGAACTGGTTGTGCAACTTAAAACAGAGATTGATGAAATACATTAAGACTGTAGGGGCATCTAGAATGATACAGACTTTTTTTTTTTTTACCATGTTAAATATAGCAAAATACTATGTATGTTACCTCTGGGACCATGACTGGAGTCCCATTCATAGTCCTACATTTACTGTAGAATTTTTTCCCTGTTTCATTGAATACTGATCACAAACCTCTTAGCAAGCATAGCCCAATCCATAACCAAATCCTGTGTGAGCAGTTTGAAGACACGTGCTGCAGGAAGAGTTCCCTGTAAATGAATCAGATAAACTTTGCAGCCCTGGGAGTATTCAGGTGGGTGAGGAAGACAGGGCTGAACACAGGAACTGGCTCATCAGGGATGCTGCATCCTGATTTCTGTGCTCCACTCTGGACACACCAGTGGCTCAGTTCTCATCCCTGTGCCACCCTCTGGCTGCTCCCAGTTTCCATCTCAACAAATTAATTTCGAGTGGCTGCTTTTCTCAGCTGGGCTCTTGGATGAGGTTATCACCTTCTCATATCACAACAGCCATGGAACTGCTAAGGACATTCATATCTTGGTGTGAATTTCTGCTGGGGAGCTGTTAGGAAATAACATCTGTGCCATCACTGCAGATGCTTCTCTGAGGTGAACAAAGGGTACCTTAATTATGTCTACTGAAAGAAATTCTTGTTGTTTCAATATATTTTACAACCATGTTTCCATCTTAAAAAACATAAAATTATGTGTTGTGTTGAAATGTGAGGAATTGTTGTTAGAAAGGATGAACCCCTGTAAGGATTTGTAGGTTGTGTGAACACCACTTGAGTTTTAAGGCAGTGTTTTGGGTGATGCTGCCTGTGCTGGTCAGCAAGTGGCAAACACGAACACAGGCTGGGCAGAAAATGGGTCAGGAATATTCCTGAGGAGAAGGACTTGGGTTGTTGGTTGAGGAGAAGCTCAGCACGATCTGAAGTGCCTTCACAGCCCAGAAAGCCAATCCTGTCCTGGGCTGCATCAAAAGCAGCCGAGGGAGGGGATTCTGAGCTCTTGTGACACCCCACCTGCAGTGCTGTGTCCCGTTCTGGTGGTCCCAGCATCAGAAGGATGAGGAAACATTGGGGTGAGTCCAGAGGGGACCACAAAGATGCTCTGAGGGCTGAAGCCCCTCTGGGAGTGCTGGAGGTGTTCACCTGGAGAAGAGAAGGCTCCAGGGAGACCTCAGAGCCCTTGCCAGTGCCTAAAGGGGCTCCAGGAGAGCTGGAGAGGGACTTTGTTACAAGGCAGGGAGTAGTAGGACATGGAAGAATGGCTTCAAACTGACAGCAGGCAGGGCTAGATTAAATATTAGGAAGAAATTCTTTGCTGTGAGGGTGGTGAGGCCCTGGCACAGGGTGCCCAGAGAAGCTGTGGATGCCCCATCCCTGGATGTTGGGCTTGTAGTAGCCTGGTCTAGTGGAAGGTATCCCTGCCCATGGCAGATTGTTGGAACTGGATGATCTTTGAGGTTCCTTCCAACCCAAACCATTCTAGGATTCTGTGAAAGCAGAGCAAACAGGACTGTGTCTCAGATCCCAGGGAAAAAAAGCAGGCATTTTGTTTAAAAAGCTGTCTGCAAACACATCCAGCCATCTCACACTCCACAGTTTGTTGTGGAGTGGCTTCCTCTCCTGTTGGACAAGGCAAGTGCATGAGGGTCCCTTCTCCTCCTGCCTTGCCCAGAAATCCCTCACAGTATCTGTACCTGTGTGAGCTGCTTCTCCCTGAACCCATTTACACCAGAGCTTCCCTGGCCAGAATTTTATCCATATGCTCTTCCTACCGTTGATAAAATGCCAGAAACAAACAAGGCTTTGTGCATTTCATTGTGAATCGGGCCTGAAGTTTGGTTCAGTAGAGCTTTGCCTGTCTGGGAGATGGGGTTGGTCTCCAAATGGAATTTAGTTTGTTTCTGCTGAGATCAGTGGAGGAGACAGTGATGACTTCATGGCTCAGGTGACAGCTGAGGGCAGTGGGAGCACTGCCAGCCCTTGGGGTGGCTGTGGGGCTGCACCAAACCCTGCAGGGAGCCCTAAAACCCCACCCAAAAGCTGACCAAGGCCACCAGTGTCCGTGTGCCTGGGGCAGCCATGCAGCATCCATTAATGCCTTTATGTGTGGTGGCTCTTTTAGGACTGCAGGACCTTGTCCAGTTTGCTGTAAATGTGACACTTCTGCAAAGGGTCAGGAGAGTGACAGTGACACAGCTCACCTGTGACTGGAACTGATCCATATGTGTGGGACCCTTCTGTCATAGCTGAGGTAGGATGGATCTTCTGAAGCAAAAAGACTTTGCCATTAGCAAAAGCAGAGCTCCTGATAATGGCTGTACATCTGAACCCATTCACCAGGGTTCTTTGTGGGGTTTTTTTTGGCTGTTGGTTTGTTTGGGTTTTTTTATTCATTTTGAGCGTGTTACCCCACAGTCAGTGAAATGGGCAGCTAAAGAGTACAAAGAAATGTTAACAAGTCATCAAAAGGAGAAGCCAGCAACTACTACAATATGTATGAAGCCTCTCCTAAGTATTCATTTTCAGAAAACTGAGTATGTGCAAGAGAGATTTGTCTTTGGTTACCTCAGTCATGTGCTGTCAAACAGCTGTGTTTTAGAAGGGTTGTGGGCTTTTTTCTCCTCTTATAATAATTATCACATTGCACAAAGAAAACGTTTGAAGGCATAAGCCTAAAAATACAATCTACAATATATGGTGTAGCAAAATGATGGCTAAATAAAAAACCCTCCCTAGAAATTGTTCCAAGGTTAAAGGGAGATTCCTGTGGAACTTGTGAAGGCTAGCTCACATCACGACCTAGTTAAAATTTATTTTGTTGTCAAGAGATGCTCACACATGCACACAAATACACACACTCTCTCTTGGAAACAGACTTATATATTTATGCTTTTTTATAATACAATTAAGCTGTGTGTTCTTAGTCTCATATACACTTGTTTACAACAAAAGCCAATTTTCTTTATATTTGTTCTTATGGCTTTAAGTTTCACATTGCAAAAGAGAGTGAGACAAAAACCAAAGACTTCAAGAAATTCATCCCTCTCTGGTTGCCCTCACTCCTGAAATGCATTAACTTTAATGGTGCTTTTTCTGAACTGGGCAGAAGAAATGCAGGTGTATTATAAAGCTGCATTTGAGAGAACAAAGTGGCAGGAAGGCTCTTGGTTAATGGGGAGAGGAGGAAATAATGTGAAAAATCTTGAAATGGTTGCAGAGGGCAAGGTTACCTGAAATTTGAAACATGGAGAAATAGCCCAGAAAGCTTAAAGACATCATCCTGGGTTGAAAGTATAAATAAACTGAGTAAATGGTGCCAGCTGTTCACTTGAGCATTAGCAGGGCAGGAGCTCCATTGGCTGCTCGGTGGAGAAGAGTAACTCTGCAAAGATTTCATTTTAGAAGTATCTACAGTAAAAAAAAAAAAAAATATATAGAAAGAAAAACCAAAAAGAAAAAAGTTAGAGGCTGTGCTCTTTTTTATGGCTGACATTTTAAATTTTGAAATGTCATCATCTAGAATTCACCCCAGCAAGCGCAGGGCGTGTTCCTGCCAAGCTTTGCCAAGCGCTGCTTTGGTGCTTTTTGAGAGTGAAAATATCAGCCTTTTTATTGCCCTGGCTGTTCAGGAACGTGATCCTGGCAACAGTTCCCTTTTCTCCATTTTAACCTTTTTTTCCTTAGCTCTGAAATTGCTGTGTAATGTTTTTGTAGCTGGTGTCCTGCTCTCAAATCCACATCATGTCACATGTCAGTCACACAGACCCCCAAAACCCAAAAGGTGCATTTAGCAGTGGCATGACCATAAAACTGGGGAGTTTCAGGTAAACTCTGCCTGGCAGTTGCTGTGTATTCACAGCTGATGTAGCCAAGTTTATGGCTGTGAGTAGAGCAGGGTTAAACACTGACGTGGTGCTGAGGTTATTCAAGCAAGAGTGGAGTGAATTAAACAAGGCAGGTAGGAGGGAAGGGGAAGAAATGGAGAGAGACATCAGCCTAATCACAGTAATGCAGTCAACGTCTCTGTCCCTTTGCACTATTATACTTTAAATTAATAACATCCATTTTACTAAATATGGTGGCAATTATGCTTGATCTTTTCATGGAGCTCAGTGGAATTACTGTCACTGAAACCACTTACAGCTCGGGCTGTTCAAGATTGCTGGGGTGTTGTTTCCATCCACAATAACCACAGTGGCTTGGGGCTTGGATGGAAATTATATTGAATAGCTTGTATTTAGAAAGCTTTTAAGTCTGCTGTGGTTGAGAGGCCCCTGGTTATGCACATCCAGCCCTGAGGCTTTATCATTTCAGCCTCTCTTGTCCTGCCACTTGAATTGTATTGTGCCCTTGTGAAAAGTGACACACGGTATAGAGAACACAGGAAAAGATGGATATTTAAAGCTGCAGGATTTTTATCTGAAATGAAGAAGGAAACACAATCAGAGTGCCCCACTGAGATTTCCCATCCAAATCACTTTAAACTAGAGGTTCAAGTAACTTAAAAATTAATTTGCTACAAGTGTCATTCCTGCAGCAAAGTTAGCACTGGTGTCTCTCCCAGGAAATGTCTCACCTTACTGCAGCTGGAAGCTCTGTGGTGGCTGGAATTTTGTGCCACCAGTCAGGAGTGATGGGCTGCCTGTTCAGAGGAAGTCAGGTTTCCTTTGAGGCAGCTAATCTCCACGAATGGAGCTTTTGGTAGCTTTTAACAGGGATTAAAGAATAGGAGGGATAAGTCCACTGTGAAGTGATGTGTAATTGGATGTTTGCCTCACTTAGTTGGTTGAAACTTTCCACCAGGAAGAGAAAATATCAGGAGAAATTTCTGTGAAAATGTTACATTTGCATTGTGCCACCAAATGCTTCAGATAAATACATGCAGCTTTAGCTATCAGTCTTTTCTTCTGAGATTAAAAAGGACTCTTTGGAGCCTCTCATCGGGTCCAGCCCAAAAGGAAAGTTTCACCATTTCTAATGTATTTGTCATTATAGGAACAGGCCCATTCCAAAGCACAAGTCATGT